CCTTGGCAGCATGTTTTGGGGCAGAATTACTGGAGATTTTTTGGATTTCCTTTCCATTTTTGCCAGAACTCAAACTTCATAAAAAAATGAAATATGATTCCTCTGCACTGTAGGGAATGGATTAATGGAATCTTGCTTTTTCAGTCAGTAATGCACACATTAACCAATGACATTACTGTCATTGGTTAATGTGTGTGTCCTGCGCCACCTCACTATCAGGTTCCTTGTTCTTGAGGACACCTTTAACCTGGTCCTCAAGACAAGGACCCTCTCTTTAAGCCCCCTACCTCCCCACCCACCCTGTTTTTAGTTCACTGTGTGGAAACACTTTCCATTTGTTGTTAAGCACTACTTTCCTTCTTTCTTTCTTTTGTTAATACTCAGTATTTACCGCTTAACATAGCAACATTTATGGAAGATCAAAGACCAGACACAAACACAAAGGATACAATCTCAGTGTTGATGATGATCTCCAGGCCATTGGGATGGAAAACTCCGCTGATGTTCATGTTAAACTTGTCAAACTTATGGATGGCCCTCGATGCCCTCACGTCCCACAGCACTCCGTCATTCAACACCAGGTCATCAGTCGGACTGAAGGTGGCGCAGTTCCTCTTGTAGTTGTTAGCCAGGGCAGGGTCATTTAGGGTCAGGGTCTTCTGACCCGTCTGGATGTCATAGATCTGCAGTCAGACACAGAATAAAAATAAAAGAATTGAAAAAAGTAAAGGAAACCCCTAATAAACAAATGAGCAGTGACTGGTGACCTACGTGGGCCACTTGGTCCTTGGTGCCGATGACTCGGTCCTGAGAGAGTTTACTGAACTCCACATAGTGATCGTCCACAAATGAGTTTCTGCCAATAAAGGAAGCAGGGTTTATACACGTGTGAATAAATTTTAACATTAAACTGACAACAGTTTAAGTGTGTGTGTGTTTACTTCATGCTAAAAACACCATCCATACTCCATAGGGCAGACAACGGGACGCTCCAAGAGGCAGAGGTGAGCAAAAGATTTCCATCCTGAAAGAATAAAAAAAGCGAAATGTAAAAAAAACCCAAATTTCCAATAAGAACACACGATAAATATGTGAGTGCATGTGGAATGGTACCTTGGAGGGCTCCAGGTGGGTGATGGCTGAGGTGTGGCAGGTGTAGCTGGCTTCCTCTTCACCAGAGAAGACATTGTAGAGCTTCAGGCGACCAGAGCAGGTTCCCAGCATCAAAAAGCGCTCGCCAGCTGAGAAGGCACAACAAGTGAAGCCGCTCTCGTCTCCATCGCCCTCATGAAAGACTGACATCGGTCGAAACCTGACCAGAGAAAGAACCAAGGTGAAAGGCCAGAAGTCTGCCTCAACTGAAGCGAATACAAACTGAAGTGAAAACCTTGAAGTACTTCAGTAAAACACACCGGACTGAAACCATAGGATTACAGACAGGTGAAAACAAAAACACATCTCTTCATCAGCAAGTCAACATTTGTGTTATAAAAATGTGTGCCAATGATGGCCAGTGAGTCTGGACAGACCAGGTATAAAAGGTCTGGGTCAAAGTATCCCCAGAACTGCAGCTCTGTGTGGTGTCCACAGTCTGCCATCAAAAGTGATTACAGAAATGAAAAGTGGTGGAGCAGTGTTGGGGTGATGGGCTCGGTACCTGCTGAATATCAGATGTCTGTCCAGACAGCCTCGGTCCACGCCGCCATATTTTGGGTACAGAACCCTGCTGCCCAGTCGGGCTGTAAAATTGGGCAATGCCTGCCGCCTCTGTTTGGGTTCCGGGCATCTGTGGGGCGTGAAGAGAGAAAAAGGGGGGCAGGTGGTGACGGGGTTATGGCAGCGGGCATGTTGTTCTCGCAGATACTCAGTGATGATGCTGTCGAGGGTAGGAGGTGAGGGCAGGTGGCGCTCTTGCTGCTTCTTCATTGCTGGAGTCTGAGCAAAAAAAAAAAAAAACAAGACAGAATAAATGTATTTACAGTTACATTCATTTCACAGACAAATACTATGAACCTCTGACCATAATATGTTCATTAAAGTATGAATGTTATTACTGAACATCTCACTGACTTGTATGAAAGCACCGTGGTCTGACTTTTGCTTCAGAGCTCGAATTCTTCTCCCAGAGTTGCCAATTGCTGCTGGACGTTCCCGCGAGAACAAAAGCCTTCCTAATGGATGTGATCCCTGTCCCTGAGGAGTAGACGGAGTTGAGAGGGCAGAGCCAGACGCTGTGGAGCAGGAAGAGGAGGGGATGATGGGAGCACGGGCTACGGATGGAGGAGGTGTGGAGGACAACATAGCAGACACCAAAGTCACAGGGGAAGAGCCCACATGGCCTGGGGAGCGGGAAGTAATACCGGAACTGAGTCGGCAAGTCCTTGGAATAACGGAGGAGGCGGGAGGAGTGACGCAGGAGGAGGAGATGGGACAGTGGGGTCCGTTGACTAAATTGGCCTCTTTGACCAGGGTGCTGGCAGTATCATGGAGACCTTTGGACACCAGGTGGTTCCTGATCAGCAGGAGCAGCTCTTTCTCAGAGAAGGTGATCTTGGACTGGGCCACCACACTGGCCTTCTGCAGACGAGCCAAAGACACATCGGAGCCAACCAGCAGCGGCTTTCCTGACACACGCTCCATCATCTCGGCGGCGTATCTGCAAAACCGGACATGTTCGCTACGTTTGTCCTGCAGCACCGGCTCCTTCATCAGCTGAAGAACCACAGAAGAGACACAGCACCATGATGTTCATGAAGGTTTGGAGTCAGAAAGGAGGACATTCATTAGAACAGATTCTCAGTTTAAAATGGAGAGATGGTGTTGGAGCATCTCTCCTTTCATGGTTTTCTATCATCATTATACAACACTCTATTTTGTGTTATTTCTTATTGGTGGTAGATACATTCCTTCATTTTCATGTACAAACTCTAAAGACCACTAAAGAGAAACACATTTGTGAATTTGGACTGTAAGCTCTAAAACTCTACTTGACACGGACGTGAGCTTGTGGGTTGTTTTATCTTTTGTCTCTTTCATCCTTGTGTCTCCAGCCTGTCCCAGATTTGTCTCCATGACATGAACTCTGCCTGTCCCTCATATATATTACGTAGTTATTATTTATTATTATCTGACCCACTTCCCCGCTGACCTGTTGGATGTGTCCACTGGTGAAGAGTGGTAGTTTGCTGATGATCTGTCTGACGGCAGAGCAGCGGGACAGTCCCAACAGAGCCTTACAGGCCAGGGCTCGGATCAGGTCGGCATCAGTGATGGGCGTCTTCACCGACAGCAGAGACAGGAGAACCTGGGACACGCAGAGTGAGACTATGGGATGTTGACATGTGTGGAACCCTGAGGACTTGTGCCTCTGTGGTCGGACACAGAAAAGTCTGTCACCTGGTTCTTCTTACCTTCATCCCGTTATTGTTCTGGACCACCTGCCACATGCGACCAAGGACCCTGTTGTGGGGAACATGAGGCTGCTGCAGGTGCAGGGACGGCCTGATGGGGGTGCCAGAGAAGCTTCCCACAGAGTTAAGATTCTGGTCCGGAGCGCACATACAGTTTATGATGACCTGGAAAAATTATGAGATGGTATTGGATTTGACTTGTTGCTGTCAATAGAGACAGATAGGACAAGTGAAGTGAGTGAAGTGAGGTGTGACAAATATGAGCTGGTGTCTTAAATATGACTAAACAAAACTAAATGTTTCTTATAGGGAGTCAAACAAAATGACAAAAGAACTAAAAGTGAACAAAGAGTAGCAAATATTTGAATAATAATAATAAAAATATTATTCATAGTCATAATTATAAAGCATAGTCATTGCCAAAAACTTTGTACCTGTAGAGCAGATTTTTGGATCTCAGCATCGTTGACAAACACCTCCCCCTCTGCCACGCCGAGGACAATACTCATACCTGTAAACCGAGACACATGTTTGACCTCACAGACCCTGAAGGTCAAGTAGAGCAGGGGTGCTGAGCTAAAACAGAGAGGTTCTACTGACCCACTGTGGAGACAGGTGACCCTGTTTCATCCAGGACGTTCACAGAGTCCGCCAGCAGCAACTGGACCTTAGGAACCACAGTCAGGATGGCCAGGATGTCCAAGGCGTAACGCACTGTGTCACTCCTGGATGGACAGACAGGCGGGAAGACAGGAAGAAGACGCAGCATTGTGGATGAGTCCAACGTTCACACTGCAGCTCAGTTCTGGTTTTCAGCTCAGTTCTGATTTGTTGATTGCATTAGTAAATGACATGATATGAACATGACCTCCACCAGAGAGGTGGAGGCTGAGAGATATGATCTGGTCTAGGTCTGTGTGACATATCAAATAAAATCCAAAATGTCAGATTTGTTCCATTTTTGATGAAGTGTGAATGCAAATGTATTAAAGTGGACCTTCAAGGATAGCCATTACCTGCCATAGTATGTCCTCCAGTCACAGGCTGTAGAAATGAGCTGCAGCATCAGGGGAACACAGGACAACCTGTAGAAAACCTCTACGGCCTCCCAGTGAAGATGTGGAGGACCATACTCGATTAGAAACTCCATCATCTCAATAACCTGCTCTCTGGGGTAGGAATGAGCCTGAAACACAATGACAAACAGGACGTCCTGTCAGTGTCCAGATACATGTTAGACAAGTGTGGTAATGAAGTGAGTCGGTACCTTATGAACAGGCTGCTGAGGGCCTGTTGCGCCTTTGTCTGCTGTATGGATGGACTGTTTCACCTGTTCAGTCTTTAGCCCCAGGTGGGCCTCAAAGTACCTGCACCGAGAGGAGAGACGCACTGACCATCATCGTCACATGGTGAGAAGTCATTAAAATGTATCTAAATAGAAGCTCAGAGATCGAGCACATGACAAGATTTAACAATATTAATAGTGGATTTATGACAACTTCATTTTAGTTCACCACTGAAGCTGTGACATCACACTTCCATAGTTAATAACAGAAAAGAAAATCTTGAATATGGTAGAAATGTATTGACTACAGTGTTCTCCCGTACCTGCGCAGAGCCATGCATGTGTGTTTGGCCGTCTGTCGGTCAGAGAACACACGGTCGTCACTCAGGATGGCCACCTCAGAGTCCATGTTCATGATCTCCAGAGTGCTGATCTGCAGGAACGGACAAAGAGATGGAGGTCGTTCAAACTTACATGAACCTTCTGCAAAGTCTTGCATGTCAGTGAGCAGGTTCTGGTTCTGACCAGGTTAACGAGTCGACGCAGGCCATCCTGCTGGTCAAAGAGCTGCAGCACAGCTCTGAAAGAGAAGGAGATGGAAAAAAACATGGTGGCGTGGCAGACACCAGAGGCGTGGGACGACTCCAGCAGCCAAAGGGCGTAGGACACCGTGTCTGAGAGGACACCATCAGGGAGCATACACACCTGCAGAAGAGGCAGGATCAGAGCATTTTTATCAGCATGGTTTAAACACACCGTACACACCGTATTTGTGTGTGTGTGTGTAAGTGTGTGATAGTTCACCCTCTCCATGGCGTCTTGGTTGTAGGCCAGATAGTAGAGACAGAGAGAAACTCCAGTCGCTGCCATCGATGGCCTGGGAATCTCCAGAAGCTTCTGTACGCCTCCGTGAGCAATGAACTCGGCCACAAACTTTTTATGGAGCAGCAATGAGGCCAGGTACTGAGAAGAAACACAACAATGTCCTGTCCTTGTATTGTTCTGGCCACATGTTAAGTCTACATTTTCATGATGAGCCTACCAGGAGGGCATCAAAGGTGAGCTGGACGTTCTTGGTCTTCCTGAGGTCAAGGTAGTTCATCAGCAGTGACCGTGTGTCCATTTGCATGAAGACAGCCAGCAGCTGAAACAAAGACAAAGACAAAAGTGAGTCGCCTTTACAGGCTGCATGTACCGGAAAACCACCGTCTCCTTGACATTCCAGCTGATGTGGTGAGAGTCCAATGCCATGGTAGATGATGTCATCATATACCTACATTAGAAACTATATAGCAATATATTGTATTGTTTTCCTTGTATCATGTCATGTATCATATCTCCAAATTCCCGCCAATACACATCCCTACAACAACTCAATATAATTTTCAATATAATTTTCATTTAATTATTTACAAAGTAATGACCTCCATTTGACTTTTAGTCCATGTTGACCTGAAGATACAAAATTCTGAGATGCAGATTTGATCAGACTGAAAGCATCTCACACAGATATTTGAACTATCACTGAATTGATCACTTATCGCTGTTTCTTGTTCATTATCCTCTAACAGCTTCTAATGTGCTCACAGCTGCTTCATCCTCACTCTCCAGCTTCTTTTAGATGAAAATCGTCAAATACAATTTTTTGGAACTGCAGAAAGTGACTGTGAAACAAGGGTGACTCTGAGCTACAGTGGCTGTGTGCTTGGTTTGTCTACCTCTTGGTGTTCTCCCAGGGGGGTCAGGTACTGCAGAATGAGCCTCTGTTCCATTGCTGAGCTGAGGGGCGACAGGCAATAATCCAAACCAATTACAATGGTGCTCATTTCTGACCAGGAAGCGGTGGTACTGATGGGTGGATTGCTGCTATCAGACTCCTCACAGGTCTTCTGCTTGGCCTTTTGGTTGTTCTCCTTCATCCCTCGTCTCCTTCCTCCTTGTTTTTCCTCTGTCCTCTTGGAGGATGAGTTCCTGTTCTGGAGCACTGAGCCCGGAGGAGGAGTTTGGGTGGAGGTGATGCCATTCTCCTGCGCTGGTCTGAGCGGGGACAAAGGCTTGGTGCTGGTCTTTGACTGGTCCTCACTCCTGGCTTTTTCATACGTCTGGTCTCCGTGGCCTTTTGAAAGACTTGAAGTTTGTGTGTTATGGACCTGACAGTCGGGAGGAAGGACCTGAGGGGTTTCTGTCAGGTTTACACAGTGCCCATCTAGGTTTTTGGTTTGCAGCTCATGCAGGCGCTGGATCATGATCGAAACCTGAAGAGCACAAGACACACTGATAGTACCAGAAAGAATATGGACAACAGCTCAATTTTACAGGAATCAGACTGTGAATCAAGGTTTAGGTAAAACAAAGCCTTGATGAACTTGATGAAAAAGAGGATTTTTTAGGCTCTTTATAAAGAAACTAGTGCTTGTTAGGAATGTAAGCATACACTCTACTCACAATATGATTCTAATTTCCTAGTTCACAGTATGGTTTAAATACCATTTATTGAGCTCCAGACCTATTAAATACAATGATCCTTTGATCCTCTGTACCGGATAAACTGAAAATGTTATATTAAATAACTGAATAAAAAAAATACACGTCTTTACAGAAATACTGAACATCACCATTCAACTCCTCTTATCAAAAGTAAGTCTGGTCTTTACCTCACTTAAAGTGTCAATACATTAAAAAACCAAAGACTATAAAAAATATTAACTGGAAGTTAAGTTCCCATTCTTCAGGATCATGTGAAATAATTATTTAGGGATCTACAACTAAGGTTGACTGCATTGGAGAAAAAAGTCTCTTGGTCAGGAGTTTGCAGTGACCATCAATTACAGCACACGTGCTAAACTCAGGCCCGGGGGCCAAATCTGGCCTGCGGTGTAATTATATTTGGCCCGTGAGATCATATCAAATGTGTACCAGAGTTGGCCCGCCAGTATATAGCCTTTATATACTGGCAGGATTTGTAGTATTAGTTGTGTATGCGCTATGTTATAGCACATACATTTAGTTTGTTTATTTGTTGTTGGCCTGTGAAAAAAAGATTTACATTAAAAAACAACTATAAAGGCTACAGATAAAGATACATAATAAGAAACCAATAATACTAATGTCTGTTTTATTTAAAATTTATTTCTCGTGTATTTAAAATATTAAGCTTTGGTTATTCCAGATACAATGTTTATTGTTAAAGTTTGTTTCATCACCTGCGCGATGGGACAATATGTACAATTTTTTCGATAAATATTAAGTTTGGCCCGTGACTTCTTTATTTGTTGTTGGCCTGTGAAAAAAAGATTTACATTAAAAAACAACTATAAAGGCTACAGATAAAGATACATAATAAGAAACCAATAATACTAATGTCTGTTTTATTTAAAATTTATTTCTCGTGTATTTAAAATATTAAGCTTTGGTTATTCCAGATACAATGTTTATTGTTAAAGTTTGTTTCATCACCTGCGCGATGGGACAATATGTACAATTTTTTCGATAAATATTAAGTTTGGCCCGTGACTTCATCCCAGTTTTTAACTTTGGCCCACTGTGAATCTGAGTTTGACACCCATGAATTAGAGAGTTTGTAGCTCACCAGCTGAGAGTTCTCTTGTTTGTACTTTGCTGCTACCTCCTGGCTACTCATAGCTCTGGCCAGGAGCCCTGTGGCGTAGATATTCAGTGGCCGCACAGCTTCACAGGCAAAGGTGTAGAGATGACCCACCAGACCGTCCTGAGATCAAACAGAGAGAACAAATCGGTTATCGTAATGGATGTTCGTTTATCTTCTACAACAAACAGACTGATGTTGGTTGAAGTAGTTTGATTTTTTTTTAGCTCATCAACTATGGAGCTAAAGCCCCACCTTCTCATTGAAGATGATGGTGGTCTCCAGACCTGGTATGATGTTCAGGAACAGACGACAGGCTGCAGTGTTGAGGCTAGCATCTCGGCTGCTCACGATGTACATGTCCAACAGCTGCAGAACACAAACAGACCAGAAATAAACAGCAGCACAACAACAACTGCACCAACACTGTCCTT